TCAATTGAAATAGAAATATAAAAATAAAATTACCACTTTAGCCAAAGTATTTTTACCTTCAAATGTAATAATAATCTGTAAACACAAATTAATAAATCATGAAAACAAAAATAAATAAATAAATCATGACAAGTTTGTTGATATTGTATTTTGAGAAACAAAAGAATCCCAAATATTTTGTGACTAACTAGTTAAATGGTTCAAAGTATCAAAAGAGAAAAGCAATTTGTGAATTTTTAGAAAAAAGCATTCTAAATTCAATGGAAAGGAAGATTCTACTAGCTTTTTAAGAAGTCTAACATACTAAGAATAACTTACTAAACTTGATTAAAAACATTTATTAAAGTTCATTTGACACAAGTAGATCACAGTTGAAAACCCAAAACAGGAGGACTTTTTAGGAACTACAAATGAACTATTTGTAGTGAACTATCTTTACTACAATGAACTATGCAGTGTTAGTTTATAGGTCTATCTTTTATTTCTAAATGTGATATACATTTAAGTTCATCCTGAGTCTGGCAATCAAGGTCCTTCAGGATATAGTCCCAACGTAATTTTTTGTCCTTCACTCCTATTATTCTCCTACGTACTGTGTTAAAAACTAAACTGCTTATTAAACATACTCTATCATTTCCTGCCTTTGTACCTTGGAGTGTATTCTTCCTTTTGCCCTGACTACTTGGATAGTACAGTGTAGTGATTTTTAAAAAGAAGATTCTGGCCGGGTGTGGTGGCTGATGTCTGTAATACTAACACTTTGAGAGGCCAAGGTGAGTTCATGGGTCACATGAGCTCAGGAGTTCGAGATTAGCCTGAGCACCATAGCGAAACCCGGACTCTACAAAAAACACAAAAATTACACGGGCGTGGTGTCGTGCCCTCATGGTCCCATCTACTCAGGGGTCCGAGGCAGGATAATAGCTTGAGTCCCAGAGATGGAAGTTGCAGTGAGCCGAGACCAGGCCACTGCACTCCAGCCTGGGAGACAGAGTGAGACCCTGCCTCAAAAATAGATAAATAAATAAAATAATGAAAATAAAAAATAAAAAAGAAGATTCTGGAGCCACACTGCCTAAAATGTTTGAATCTGGCGCTGTCACTTACATAGGCCAAGAATAAATTTAAACTAAGGAAAATTTAAGCGTCTCAGTAAAAACAAAATATATTACTGTCTTTTATTTGAGAGTTGGTCATTTAGAAAATAAATTTTCTAAGCTCTTTGCTTTTCTTTCTTTCATTTTCTTTTGCTAGGCCAATGCTAATGGCAACATTTTCCAGATAGAGCCTTTGATTTTCCCACATTAACCTGAGTACTTGGGGTCTTCATAAATAGAAGCATGATTGGACCATCTACTAGCCACAATGAGCTAAAGCAACTGACACTCCAGAACCAGCTCATTAACCTAACACTGGAGCCAGTCACGGGCTGAAAAAGTTCAACCAGGTTGGCTCCAGACCCACAGCACTTAAGCAATATCAGTAACCTTGAGTTAAAGTCAGACTGGTTGTAAGGCTGGGATCATGCTTTCTATTTTATTTGCCTCCATCCACAGTATCAATAAAAATGGCTTTTGACATCAGTTAATTGTAGAAAAGTCTAGGTAAATTAGTGAAAACTCTGAATTACAGACTATTCAAATAGATAGTAAATTTTATTAATTAAAGTATATATAGTAAATAAAATCAGGGTGATAAAGAACCACCAAGCAGGGCTGGGTGCGGTGGCTCATCCTGTAATCCCAGCACTTTGGGAGGCCAAGGTGGGCGGATCACTTGAGGTCAGGAGTTTAAGACCAGCCTGGCCAACATGGCGATACTCTGTCTCTACTAAAAAACACAAAAATTAGCCGGGCATAGTGGCGGGCGCCTGTAATCCCAGCTACTTGGGAGGCTGAGGCTGGAGAATCACTGAAACCTTGGAGGTGGGCGCTGCAGTGAGCCAAGATCATGCCACTGCACTCCAACTTGGGTGACAGAGAGAAACTCTATCTAAAAAAAAAAAAAAAATTCACCAAGCAATATCCTTTTGGAACTTGTTTAAGTAAATAGATATATCCCTATGTAAAATACTGACTTTAACACAATGATTTGAAAGTACTGAAAATCTATTTATTCTCTAAATAAATTTGGCATTTCTTCTGCAACTTCATATTTTTTATTTATTTTTTTCAATCAGCTTTCCTAAATTGAAGCAACTTTATTTATATAGTGCCTTAATTTAGCAATTCCTCCTTTAAAATTCTTCTGAGAACACAAAAGTGACATCATCTCTGCCTATGTCTGAATTAAATTATAATATACTGACTAATTGCTTTCTGCTTTGCATTATTTGATAACTATACTCATCAATGATTTCCCACCTATTAAAAATAATTCATTTTGAACGTATCGTTACAATACTAAGAATGGTTTCTTTTTCCTGTCTCTAACTTTCACTACCATAAAATATACTCACTCATAAGTAACTATGGGAACTTAACAGTTTTCGTTTCAAATTTAAAACATATTTAAGGAAGATGCTTTTTGAAAGTACCTGGAATCTTTCATAGAAAAAGAGGTCAAGAAATTAAATAGTTACTGATTATTAAATTTTAAAAAAGTGTCTTTTGACTAGGCGCGGTGGCTCACGCCTGTAATCCCAGCACTTTGGGAGGCCGAGGCGGGCGGATCACTTGAGGTCAGGAGTTTGAGACCAGTTGGCCAACATGGTGAAACCCCGTCTCTACTAAAAACACAAAAATTAGCCAGGCATAGTGGCACGCGCCTGTAATCCCAGCTCCTGGGGTGGCTGAGGCCAAAAATCGCTTGAACCCGGGAGGTGGAGGTTGCAGTCCAGCCTGGGCGACAGAGTGACACTCAGTCTCAAAAAAAAAAACAAACAAAAAAGCACCTTTTGATTTCAGATTTCCTCTATTTTAGTCATTTATTCATAGGAGTCTGTACCATCCCAATTCTTTTTGAAAAGTGAGTTTTGTTTTTGTTTTTGTTTTGTTTTTCTTTTTTTTGGAGACAGGATCTTGCTGTAGACCAGGCTGAAGTGCAGTGGCACGATCTCTGCTCACTGCAGCTTCGACCTCCCTGGCTCAAGTAATCTTCCCACCTCAAACCTCCCAAGTAACTGGGACTACAGGCTGCGCCAGTGTGCCCGGCTAATTTTTGTATTATTTGTAGAGACGGGGTTTTGCCGTCTAATTTTTGTTATTACTTTTAGAGATGGGGCTTCACCGTGTTGCCCAGATGGGTCTCGAACTCCTGAGCTCAAGCGATCCCTTGCTTAGGAGTCTCAAAGTGCTGAGATTACAAAAAAATTAGTTTTTATATGGAGAGGCAAATCCTTGGTTTCTGTAGGACCCATCCTGAATTATCGAATGCTATATAGTACATTTCAGACAAACTTAATACACTTAATATTTTTTCCTCTTTGTTTATCTATCTGAAGTCTCATACTCCACCTCTATCTAAAAGGAAGTTGGAGGGACTTCTTTTTAGATAGAGGTGGAGTATGAGACCTCTTTTGTTTTTGAGACCATGTCTCACTGTCGCCCAGGTTAGAGTGCAGTGCCGCCATCACGGCTCACTGCAGCCTCGACCTCCAGGGCTCAGGTGATTCTCCCACCACAGCATCCAGGCAGGCAGGCGCCAACACGTCCGGTTAATTTTTATATTTTTAGTGGAGACCAGGTTTCGCCATATTGCCCAGGCTGGTCTTGAACTCCTGACCTCAAGTGATCTGCCCACCTCGGCCTCCCAAAGTGCTGGGATTACAGGCAGGAGCCACCGCGCTTGGCCCGGCAAATTTTCTTGCTGTGCTTTAAATTTTCTCCCCGAGTCCTATTTTTTTTTTTTTTTTTTTTCTTTAGGAAATACAGTCTCTGTTCTGAATCCTTATCACAAGAAGCTCTTAAGGAGTGATGACTCCTCCCTCTTTGGTCAAACTAGGTTCTCTCCCTTCACTCAGATTTAATTTTTTTGGTCATACTTCCTCATCTTTGACAGTTACAGTCAAACGACATGTAATACTTTCCCAATCAGCCCTTGGTGAGTAGTAGGTTTTGTAGGTACAAGTAGTCTCTGCACAGTACACTCGGGCCCACCAAGTGAAGGTCTGACCACTTCTCACTCCTCAGCTTATCTAACCAAGCAACACTGGAACTCTCAGGCCACAGCGTTCAAGTTGTCGCACAAAGGACATTATTCACATAGTGAGTACTGGGGCCATTTTTTTTTTTCCCCAGTCTGAAGTGTTATATCCCCCAAAACATTTCCTAACCAAGGCATGCTAGGCCAGGATAAATCGTGCCTGCACATATAAAACAGAAGGGTACAGTGGCACATATAAAACAGAAGGGTACAGTGGCTGCTCCAGTTTGGAGCACCCAGATCCTCCTATAAGAGAATATGGTTTACATTCCCAAATTAGTCATTATTAATGGGAAGGGAGAATCAATAAGTGCATGTGAGAGTTGAGAGACCAGTTGAGAAACCTTCAGATGTTCATTTTTGCCTTCTGACAGTCGATCAGCACCCATCTCTCACTCACATCCTGTAAAACCGAGTTTTGTTAAAGCAGCGTCCTGCTTCTAGAGTCTAGGATAGCGGGATTTAGGGAACGGGTCTCCTCTACCTTGTTCAAGTTGTGGCTTTTTGGGGTATCTCTCAGAGTTATGAATATCTAGAGTTTTCCCTAGTTTTTCTGATAGCCACGGCATCTGAGGACCCTGTCTTTTCCCCTCCTAAAGTTCGAGTTTCCTCACCTTGGTCAGTTTTCCGGTCTCAGGCTAGGCTCCGAAAAGACTGTGGAGAGCGCGGCGTCTCTCTGTTGCTAGGGTAACAACTTTGTTTTGTTCCCGCCCCCCACCTGCCAACCTCCGGGTTCCCGCTTGACTTTTCTGGCCAATCATAGAAGAGTCTCATCTGAGACAACACTGGAATCGACCAATCCGAGCGCGTCCAAGTCAGGGTCACTAGTCGCCCTTTCTAGTTAACCAGGTCGACCCCTTTTAAGCCTCAGTCTGGGTTAGCTTCGCTTCAGTGGGAACCTGCCCACAGCGGAGGCCGGTTCTTTCCGGCTCGAGCAGGTCCGGACCCTCCCCTCTGGCGGCTACGCAGTCTCGGAGGCTTGCTCGTATAGTTCAGAGCCGGACAGCGAGCGGCGGCGGCTGCCACCAAGGTAAGTTTGTGGGGTTTTCATTTGTCCCGTTCGTCAGCACGCTTCGCTCTTTTACGCTTTTCCCGCGCGTGAATTCCCGATCTGAGGACTCGATCTCCAGCCAATCTGGAGAGGCGGGGGCAGAAGGGTAGGGGCAGTGGACCGGGGGTTGAGAAGGGTTTGCTACCGTCCTCCATGCCCCCCGCCTTTTGCGTCTCCCCCTCGCGACAGAAACACGTATTGTGCTTCCGTCCTGGCTTGGCGCGTGCGATCGTGTTTGTATGTGTGCAGGTGGGATCGCATTTTATTCTTCTCTGTGGGCAAGCCTTCCGGGCCCCAAGTTCCCGGGGGAGCACCTGGTCAACTGCCACCTGGTTCCTGTGGGGCACTGGCTTGAGCTACGCGTCGCTCCCACTCTAGGGAAAATCGCGGCTCCGGGAGCTCTGCTTTTCCCGCCTCGGAGTGGAGAAAAGCAGGCGCGCCGCTCGCTTGCCACTGCTAGGGAATCTGGTTGTCTTAAGTTCACTTAGAGATAGAGTTGTTACTCTAGTTTCCCATAAATTCCGTGGCTTGGTTTTAAACAAAGGGGCGGCGGGGGGATGGCGTAATATTTAGAGTACTTAGGACTGATTAGCCATGATCAACAGTAGGACCCCACAGATGGTTTTAATGAATGGTTACTTTTGGTTATTCAGGTATTGGAATTTGATTATAAATGAACTAAACTGCTTCCTTTCTTTCTTTATACCATGCATTTCTTAACGACCATCCCATCTGGCATAGGGGATAGTGAAGTTTGATTAATTTGTCCATTCTACTTGTTATTATCTACGGTAAACAAAAAGTGGGGATAGAATAAGGTTATTGGCTAAAGCAACGTTATTGGCCTTTTAGCCAAATTACCAATACCTTAATTCCCCTTATCACTGTGAATGATCAGAATTTAGGTGTCTTACATTTTGCTAATTCTTTAGATACTTGTGGAGCTTAAATTATAGATATTATGCCATCTCCTTTTTCTTGCTTTTTTGTTTTTATTCTGCCTCATTGTGCATTATTCTAAGTCTGTAATGCTCAGCCGGTGTTTTTCAGACCTTTTGACTGTGACCAACAGTAAGAAATAAATTTTATATTGTGACCTAGTACACATGTAGACAATATATAACCGACAACCATTTTTACAGAAACAACACTTAACATTTACTACCTGCAATATACTCTGATAATTTCCATTACGTTTTAAAAAATGTACACCACAATCCCCTAATGATTTGTCCCTAGATCTTTAGTTTCCAAACTTGTGTGTGCACTTTATTTAAAATTTATTGAAATAAAGAGTTTATTTAAAATGCAGATTGCCCTGGCTCCCTCCAGAAATTGGTTCTGTGGTCTAGTGGGACCCAGGAAGGTATACAATATAGCATATGTGAAATACTTGGTACAGTGTCGGGTGCACAGGTGTTCAGTGAATATTAGTTTTTTTCTTGGGGAACAAATGTTATTTATCTTTAGGGATATAATAAACTCTTCAAGGTTTCATCTGTCTCTGGCAAGGTGGCGTCCAATACTAAGAACTGTTTTCCCCAGGTAGAGGAAGTGGCGGGGTGGGGGATGGGTCCAGGATCTGAGATTAATCTTTAAGCAGTTGGCTTCCCTGAACAATGTTGGAAATACAGAAGCTTAGAGGCTGAGGAACACAAGGATTAGAGAGATTCTGTAACTTTCCCAGGACCGTGCTGTCGGTAAGCAGAGACAACTGAGTTTGACTCCTAATTTGGTTTTAAAGTAATGAAACTTGAGAGATCTAAAATATTTTTTAGAATACACCCAAAGGTTTCTGTGGATTTATAGCTATGAAAAATGGATATAGTTTAGCTAATTCTTTTATAATATATAGAGTGTTTTAAAACACTGGTTAAATAATTTATTAATGCAACATTGAAAGAAATTAAAGATGAAAAATCACTCAATTCTGCTACCATAATATAACTGATAATTCTTTTCCCCTCCTATTGTTATCCATATGTACCTATGTTTTTACATGATTGTGATCCTTTTTCATGTACTTTTTTGTTATTTTTATTTAATACTGTTTTGGAAATTTTTTTCCATGTTGTGATAGTCTTTATATTTTGCATTATTAACAGCAACCTAATATTTCATAGAGTGAGTTGGCTATAATTTACTTAGCCTAACTAACCAACAACAGAAAATAAGACACTATGTGTGCTTTGAAAAGGGAGATGTAGCCAGGTGCTATGGCTCACACCTGTAATCCCAGTACTTTGGGAGGCTGAGGCAGAAGAATCACTTGAACTCAGGAGTTCAAGACCAGCCTGGGTAACATAGGGAGCCCCCATCTCTATAAAAAATATTAAAAAATTAGTCAGGCTTGGTGCCATGTGCCTGTGGTCCCAGCTACTCAGGAGGCTGAGGTGGGAGGATTGCTTGAGCATGGGAGGTTGAGGCTGCAGTGAGCTGTGATTACGCCACTGCACTCCAGCCTGGGTGACAGAACAAGACCCTGTCTCAAAAAAAAAAAAAAAAAAAAAGTAAAGGGAGATGTGAGATGTGCTAATATAGTTATTCCATGATGTCTTGGGTTATTTAAAATCATTTCTATAACTGTATCTTACGTAACAGTGAGCTCAATAGGAAGCCTAACAGGAAGGCCAGATCTAGATCTGGACCTGAGCTGGGAGTTTTTGCCCCTCTTGGATGTATGAATTTGACAATCAAGATTTCTATGTGCCAGAGCAGGCAGTGATCAGCCCTAGTGTCCTTTATACATATGAGTTAGGTTGAATATACTTTTTTACTTTTTTTTTTTTGTTTTTTTTTTTGAGACAGGGTCTGCTCTGTCGCCCCAGCTGGAGTGCAGTGGTATGATCACAGCTCACTGCAGCCTCGACTTCTGGGGCACATGTTACCATACCTGGCTAATTTTTTTTTTTCTTTTTTGGTAGGGACTGGGTTTCACCACGTTCCCCATGCTGGTTTCGAACTCCTGGGCTCAAGCAATCCACCTGCTTCAGCCTCCCAAAGTGCTGGGATTACAGGTGTAGCCACTGTGCTTGGTCCAGCAGCACTTTTTTTTTTTTGGTCTGCAGTGTTTTTGAGATTTTTAAATGCAAATAAAGTTATTTTTTTATTGCTATATAGTATTCCAATATATGACTAAATCACTTTTTAAAAAATCTCCATTCGCTTATTGCTGTTGGACATTTAGGTTGTTTTAAATATACAGGTAAGATTCATATAAATCACGCAAATATTGTTATGATTCCACTTGCATGAGGTACCTAGAATAGAGTAATTCATAGACAGAAAGTAAAATAGAGGTTACCAGGGGCTGGAAGACGGAGGAAAAGGGAGTTAGCGTTCAGTAGGTACAGAGTTTCTGTTCAGGATGATGAAAAATTTTTGTCAATAGATAGTTGTGACAGTTGAATAACATCATGAGTGTACCTCATACTACCAAAATTGTACACTTTAAAATGGGTAAAATGGCAAGTATTATATGTATTTTACCACAATTAAAAAACTAAAAATTAGAAATATAAGAATTATGCTTTTTTTTCAGAAGCATATGTTTAATTGCTTTATTTTCTGTGGAGTGAGGCCATGAAAAAAGCGAACATCCTATTAAAAAATAAACTTTAAGTTATATTAGCCAGATCTGTTTTTCCTTGTAAATAATAGTTTTTGAGGTCTTTATATGACAGCTTTTCTTACTTGTATGTTTGTAAAAGGTTTTTATGATTATCATTCTTCAGAATTCTCCAGTTTTTTGTTTTTTGAGGGTTTTTTTGCTCTACTTTTCCAGAGTTTTGGGGAAGATTCTTATAAATATGGGCATACCTTTGAGGCTGTCTTTTGCATTTGACTGCTATTCACCAGTTAGTTTCCTTAGCTAGTTCTTTCAAGTATTTTACTCTCTCTCCTCCCCTCACCTACCCTCCGCTATTCCCTGCCCTCTCTTGCATTCCTCCACCCCCTTTCCAAGCAGCCATACCTCTTCCTAGGTCTTCATGCCCACACATATGCTCTGCCCTCCCTTGGGTCCTTCTCAGCTCCTCCAAGATTCTCTCTCTCTCTCTCTCTTTTTTTTTTTGAGACGGAATCTCGCTCTATTGTCCAGGATGGAGTGCGGTGGCACGATCTCAGCTCACCGCAACCTCCGCCTCCCAGGTTCAAGCGATTCTCCTGCCTCAGCCTCCTGAGTAGCTGGGATTACAGGCACTCACCACCACGCCTGACTAATTTTTGTATTTTTAGTAGAGACGGAGTTTTACCATGTTGCTCAGGCTGGTCTCGAACTCCTGACCTTATGATCTGTCCACCTCGGCCTCCCAAAGTGCTGGGATTATAGCCGTCAGTTACCATGCCCGGCCTGATTCTCCCTCTCTTGACTCTTTCTGGCTTTGGTCCCACTCACTCCTTTTCCAATTTTGTAACTGCTAAAGTCTCTCACTGAAAATGAGCAATTTACAGTCTTCAGCAATATCACACTTTTAACATTTGAAGAATTGATCCTCGTTTTGGGATTAAAATAAAAACTTTTTCTAGGTCTTAAAATTAGATTCTGACCTTAAGGCTTTGAGAAGCTATAGTATGAAGGGGGAAAAAAGAACTTAATATGAAAGATAATCAGCAAATTATACTGCTTAAGATGTTTGATATGAACTTGAAACCAATGCACCATTTTCAGAAGCCCTATATTTTGTTTTGGCATAAGATGATTACCATTTGAAGTTTGATCCCTTTCTGTTTCCTTCAAAATGCCTGGGCTAACTTCACCTCTCCCTATCAATTTCTCTCTGGGAACAGAAACATTTAGAGTAAGACATTAGTAATTCCGTTTTTACTTCCAGAGTTGGCATGCATAACTATTACTGACAAATAGGGTCATTACTGTGCTTTGAGGCTTAGATTTTTCTACTTTCTTCTTGAGTACTTTTTCTGGAAGACTTTATATCTTGGTGGTGCAAGGGGTTTCTTCTGTGAATTTGTACTTCCTT